TGAGTTCAGTTCCCGGTACCAGAGAAAAACCAAACCAAAAAAAAAAAAAAAAGGGCTGGGGATTTAGCTCAGCAGCAAAGCGCCTGCCTGGCAAGCGCAAGGTCATGAGTTCTGTTCCCGGTACCAGAGAAAAACCAAAAAAATTTCCCTGGGTGGGGCTGGTGTTGGCCATGGTTTAAATGTGGTTTGTCCCCAGCAATGTGACAGAATCTTGGTCCCCCAGTGGGGATGCTGAGGGGCAAGGCCTCTTGGGAGTCCTTAGGCTCCTGGGCATGGTGCCCTGAGAAGGGAACACTTGCCCTGGAATGAGTCCTGGGCATGTGAGTTGTTATAAAAGCCCAGGTCCTCTTCCTTGGTCTGGCTTCCAATTTTATGATAGGATCTCTCCCTCTTTCACTCACAAACTGTGAGCTAAAAGAGACCTCTTTTCTTTATAAGCAGCTCCCCTCAGGTATTTCATTACAGTAGTAAAAAACAGACAAACACAATGTGGTTGTTGTTTCCCTCCCAACCCCAAGACTCAAGGTAAGATCAGAGCTGAGACACAGAAAGTCTTGTGACAGCGGGGCCAGTCAGGATGAGAGACGCATTCACTCTTCCTTCTTAGGCTGGGAATATAGCTCAGTGGTACAGCACCTGCCTGGGAAGCACAAAGTCCTGAGTTTGATTCCCAGTACCAAAAACAAAACAAAACAAAACTTCATAGCTCTCCTAAAGGGTCCTGGGCTACCTTTCATGCTGGGAATGTAGCTCAGTGGTAAAATGCTTGCCCACCATGCACAAGGTTCTGAGTTCAATCCCCAGTACCACCACCAAGAAAAAACCCCAACAACAAAAAACCCAAGTTCCTTCCTGGTTTAGCCCCAGATACAGTAGGGATTAATATACTCCAGTAGCTACTGAAAAAGGGGCAGGAAGGGAGGAGAAGTTTTGGAAAAGTCATGTCTAAATAATATCTTTAACGTACCATTTTTCTTAAATAATGATTACAGAATTTTGGGCTGGGGATTAATCTCCTGCGGAAATTTGGAAACATTGATCCGTTGTCTTGCAGCTTCCAGGACTGCTTTTGAGCAGTCCCATCCCATTGTTCTCTCTGATCTTCACATGTTCCTCAAGCTGGTTCTGAACTCCTGAGCTCAAGGGATTTTCCTGCCTCAGCTTCCAGAGTAGCTGGGACTCTAGGCCTGCACCACCATGCCTGGAATTCATGAGTCCCTAAAGTACGGTCCTATGCTCACTGTGCAAGGTCTGACTCAAAAACTCCTCTCAACACAGAAATGTCTTTGGCTCTAGAAGCTTTTCCTGAATAATTTCTCTCCTTCATTTCATTTCTTTTTTTTTCTTTTTCCTTGAGCTCCCAAGGTGCATGTTGGATTTTTTGAGACAGGATCTTGCTAAATTACCTAGGTAGCACTCAACTTATGATCCTCCTGCCCCAGCCTACTAAGTACTAGAATTGCAGGCTCGGGTCACCATGCTTGGTTCGTTCCTTTTTTTCTGAAGTTGCATTTACGATTGCTGGGAGCTGGTGATATAGCTCAGCTGCACAAGTGCCTGCCTGGCAAGCGCAAGGTCCTGAGTTCGATTCCTGGTACCAAAAAAAAAAAAAAGTTTCCAAATTCCCAACAATTAAAAATTCAAAGAAATAATATTTTTGGGCCGGGGATATAGCTCAGTGGTGTAAGTGCTTGCCTGGCAAGCCTGAGGTCACGAGTTCGATTTCTGGTACCAAAAAAAAAAAAAAAAGATTGCTGGGTTCCTTTGGTCTGTCTGTCTGTCTGTCTGTCTGGGTCACTGTCTTTTATCGAGGTCCCCATCTTGGTCCACACGGGACAGTCCTTTGCCCTCGGGTCAAGTTTAAGAGCGAGACAGCAAACCTGCCACTGCACAGCCAATGTGACACGCAAGCAGCCTCACTGTGAAGCAACAGAGAGGCCGGCTGCCCCACAGGCCCCTCTCTGTCTGTATTGAGGACCCTTTTTCTCGCAGCATCACTTTCCTCAGAGAGAAGTCTTCACGGCCCTGCCCGGGGGCTGGGTGTCATCCCAGCTGCCATGCTGTCCGCCAGTGTGCAAGCTTTCAGGTGATGCTTCCTGTCCTCTCTAGAGTGCCACCTCCTGCCCTTGGCACTGCCCTCATGGCTTCCCTGTCCAAGGGTGGAGCCAGGCCTGGCCAGCCCAACTGGACGCTTCCCACAGGAAGCCCACTGCCTTCTGCTGGATCGGGGAGCCACCTGGCACTGTGGGCTGAGGGTGACCTCTAGCACACACTTCCACCCGTCTTCCCGCTTCCAGCCCTCCCTGCACCTCCCCCTGGGACGACGGCACAGCCTGTTCCCTCAGGCGGTGGCCAGTTCCCCACGCCCACGAGGCTGGCTCCCACCTGCTTTGTCTACCATTCTTTGTTCGTGTCCTCTCCATTGTTCACTATTCCATTTTCTAACGGGTTTTTTATTTCTACACTTCCACTGAGTGGGCTTTTGAGACAGAGCATAGATAGTTATATGTATTTAGTCAGGGTGGAAGTCTATAGTAATCTTTAGCAGGAAATGAAAAGCAAGTTTCTTTTTGCAGTGCTGGGGATGGCACCCAGGGCTTCATGCATGCTAGACTAGGCCAAGCTGCTGACCTACACCCCAATCCCTAAATCAAGTTTTCACAACTATATACCTCAAAGGGGCTGGGGATTTAGCTCAGTGGCAAAGCACCTGCCTGGCAAGTGCAAGGTCGTGAGTTCGGTTCCCGGTACCGGAGAAAAACCAAAAAAAAAA